AATGCGAAGATCTGGGTTAAGCTCAGGCCCCCGAGTCCTCAGCAGCCACAATGAAAAGCCATGTGCTGGCACACACTTGCAAGCCCAGCACTTCATATGTGAACAGGATACCGGCCAAACTAACCTAACTGGGGAGTCGACGTCCCAGAGACCCTGTCTATAACAAGGTGGAAAGCTCCTGAGCAACAGTGGAGGTTGTCCTCTGCTCACACGTATGTGCATGCATCTGGACAAAAACCAAAACACACTAAGTCTTAACGTGTGCATGCCACATGACTCAGAAGTCCCATCTACACACTCAGTCAGGCTCCAGCAGCCCAGCCCATGAGAGTTCTGCTTCTGTGCTTGCCACCCCACTGTACTCACCCACCTTTGGTCCTCCAGGTATCCCAGATGCCAAGGGCAAGTTCCGAGCGTCCACTTCTCAGACCCACTCCTCAAAACCCTACCTCTAATCCAGCTCAGCAGCCCAAGATACTCTAGCTGTGATCACAACCCTCCTGACAACTGGCTTCTGCCTCAGCTTCTGTTAGCTATTTTACAGCTAACTCTGTCTCCAGAGCCAAGCAAGGACAAAAATATCCCAAATGAAGAACAATACAGCATCCTTTGCAAAAGCCTATGTCACTATGTAAGTTCTAAGCAAACACGATGCCACTTTCTTTAAAACCCAGAGATCCTCATCACCAAGGACTGATACCCTACCTAGTCTTTGTTCCCTGACAATATAACAAGAGACAAAGACACAAAGGAAACACTTCATAGGTTCAAAACGGAAACCAGTTTTCTGACAGAGCATAAAGCAAGGGAGCAGCCTCCTGGGTCATCTCTAGCCAGCACATAGCAAACTGTCCCATACGCCCTTGCCACCTCATGGTGCAGGCAAGAAAGACAGGGTGCTCCAGGCACAAGGCCACTGCTTACCAAGCTAGAATTCTTCAAACAGCAGGATGGAGACAGGTCTCTGTCATGGATTCACAGGCACTAATTCTAATTTCACACCAGGTGCTACCTACAGCCAAATACCCAGCTGTGGCACAGAGAGACTCTAAACAGCAGGATGGACCAGACAGCTCCAGTTCTACACACATTTCTATTTTATTATGGTAAAGGTGAAAATGCCACCTTCCCCACAACAGCAACCAGTAAAATTTATCCCAAAAATAACTCAGTACAAAACAGGTCTGTTTCAGATTAAAAAAAAAAAAAGAAAAAGAAAAAGAAAAAGCCTTTACATGAGTTTTTAGATCCTATTTTAAAACAGGGAGAAAAAAAAAATTTAACAAATCCACCATTGTGTGCACAGTCCAGTCCCCAACCCTCCCTCTGGGATCTCGGACGAGGCTTCTGGGTCCTGTTCCTTGTGTGGATTTGCTCGGCTGTTTAGCTGGTGTCCATCTGAAAGAGAGGAGAAGGCTCACTGAAGAGGCTCTTGTCCCTGCTGGCTTCAAGAAGTCAGCACCCGTCCTGGAGGGAGGACTCACCCTGGCGTTGTAAGCATCAAGCTGTGCGTCCAGCTCCTCCGCGGAGAGCTGCTGCTTTGAGTTCCTGCCGGCGCCTCTGCCTCTTCCCCGGCTGCCCCCACGGGTCCCTCTCCGGGTGCCGCCTCCGCCAAAACCCCCAGAGCCACGGTTTCTTGTCATGCCGCCTCTGTTTATGCTACCAAGGAAAAGGAGAACTCTGTGATCCATCTGGAAAGGCCTTGTGGGTGGCATTATCATAAACCACAGGCCTCCCCAGCCCTTGCCCCAGCCCCAGGGGCCTCAGCACTTACCTCTGTGCAGGTCTTCGCTGTGTATCAATCTGTGATGTGACAAGCTGGATATTCATAGGACGGCCTGTGGTAAAGAACAAAACAAAGCTCATTCCAGAGGCCCTGAAGCTGACCCAGAGGACACCGCACCCTGGTCTCCATGCAAGCTCTGGAAAGGGCCTTTGTGTGTCTCCAATGCCCCCAACAAGGTAAATGGCCTGGAGAGCCTGGTGGGGAAACAAAGTACAATAATAACCCCACCGACACCTCCTCACTCCTTCTCAGTTCAGGCTAGGAGGGCTGTTTGGTCAGGTGTTCAGGGTGCTCATGGGTGGACAGGTGTGGGTGACCTGACGGAAGAAGAACAGGTACCTTTGTCTTTACGACTACAGCCCCGCACTCAGGTTGTACTATGGCGGTTCTGAGAAGGCTTCACAGAAGTGAATCTTCCGGAAGGAGCTGAAGGAGGGGAGGGATGTAGCTTGCTGGATGGGGGTTCACAAGAGGTTGGTCCAGATGTGTGGGGCAGCATGAGAGGTGGCAGAATGGAAGAGAGAGACAAAGGGGCAAATGCAAAGTGTCCTCAGCCACAGGGGCAGCCCATATTCCTACAGGGAGAGGTGCCAGCCCCAAACTCCACAAGCCCCACAGGCATCCTGGGCCCAGCCCCAGGCTCACCATCCAAAGGGACACCGTTGTACTGCTTCATAGCCTTCAGGGCATCTGCCTTCCGTTCAAAGTGCACATCTGCTGTCCCTAAACTTCGGCCAGAGCGATCGTAGTGCACAGCTGCTTTCTTCAATGTTCCAAATTCAGCAAAGAGCTCCTGGGAAGAGGAAAGGGCAAAAATTAGTACTCACGCCGTCTTCCTTCTAGTGGCTCAGCAAAAGCTGCTGAGTTTCCTTGCTTTGGCGGCCCTTCGCTCACAGCCACCCAGGAGGGGGCAAGGCAGTGGCAATTAAGAAAGGGAGGCTGGACCAAGAGGGACAGTAGCTTTCATGAACACCAGGGCTTCTGTCCACGTTGGGACTGCATAACTGTACCTCGATGCAGGTGAAGGAAACCACAAAGCCCTGGCACAGGGCAAAGAATAACAAACTACCTCCCTCTGCAAGGGTATTGACAACTTTTCCCAAACAGCAGAGGCCAAGAGCAAAACTGTCCACAGAGCACAAAGCTCAAAGGGCCCACTAATTTGGGGAGCTATGAACCCAGCCCCTCCCCCAAAGACAGACTGGCTCACCTTTCCCTCTCCTCCTACTCAAGCCTGCTGCAAAGTCTGAAGCCAAACGTGCCATGGAAGCTGCCCTGGCCTCAGGCAGGCTGGGAGTTGGAGAGGGAACCAGACTGAGGGGCTACTTCGGCTGCAGGCACACAGTGGGAAGTGGAGTTCACCAAAAGCGGTTTCCAGTGGATGCTAGAAACCACCTTAAAAAAAGTGTTGAGACACTGTGAGTGCTCACTGGCCTCGTTCTGTTCTCCCATGGCCAGACGGCTGGGCTCTGAGAAATGGCACCCAGAAAGGTCCAGCTCCCCCGACCCAGCCATCTCCCCACAAAGTTGCTTCATAACCAGAAAACTCTAAAATGCCTTTGCGTCCAGTCAGAAAACAAAAAAACAACAACAAAAAAAAAAAAAAAAAGAAAGAAAAATACTTCAGGCAAAGTCACAGAAGACTGTGGCCCCTGACAAGACCCAGGAAAGGCTTCCATACAGGGCTTCAGGGTGGAAGATCCTCAGCCAGCACTGACCCTGTATGGGTGGAGATCTGCGAAGACTCTCCTTCTCCAGTCAGCTCAATACAACGGGGCACAAGATCTAAGAAGTGAGCAGCCTCGGTCATACTTGTGGCTGGCCCGTGCCGGTTAAAAACTGGTCTCGGCAGAGGGCAGGTGCTCACAGTAGAGACAGCAGACAGGCATCATTTTGGGGGCACCCGGACTACCTTCCTGCAGCCTAACTCATACCAGCCCCCTTCAAACCCAGGAGATGCTCCTTTTTCTGAGGTGAAGCCTCTCAGGGTGAGTGACAGCGGCTGGCCCCTGGGCATCCTGGGGGCGGGCGATCAGGAAGGGATGGTGGCCAGTACGACTGCAAGGGACGAGAGCGGCGGACAGCTCCAGCCTCCTACCTGAATATCAGCGTCTGACACTCCAAAGTCCAGGTTGGACACCAGCAGCTTCCCACCCGTCTCCACGCCGGCTCCACCCCCGAAGCCGCTGTCGAATAGGTCGTGCTGCCACTTGTCGGGGAGTTGTTTCGGCTGAAGGAAAAACCGTAAGGACAGACACTCGTGAGGCCCCGACACCACACCGACGCTTTCAGGCCGGCCCGTGGCCGGGGCGAAAGAGCACCCCAGAGAGCACCCCAGGCCCGCCGCCCCCGCCGCCATGAGGCTGGCCCGCGACCGGACAAAGCGTCCCGGAAGATCCCGGCCTGGGGCCGGCCTCACGGCGCGGCCTGGCCCCCGCCCACCCCGTCGCCGCGGGTCCCGCTCGGCCCGCGGGCCGCTCGCCCGCTCCCGTACGGCCGGGAGCCCCGCACCCCCAGCGCCGCACGCTCCCGCACTCACTCTGCTGTAGGGTGCCGGCCGGTTCCTGCCGCCGCCGCCTGCGGCGCCGCGAGCGATGGCGGGCCGGTTCCTCAGAGGCCCGCCGCCTCGGCTCACCCGCGCGGCGGCCTGCACTGCGCCGCCGCGGCCGCCCTGGGAGCCGGCCCTGCCGCGGCCCCGGCCCCCGCCGCGACCGCCTCGCTGGCTCCGGTTCAGCTTAATGATGTCGTCCAAAGACATGTCCATTTTGTCGGCCATGGCGGGCGCGGAATCGGGCCTCGGCTCGAGCCCGCGCGTCAGCACGCCGCGGCGTCACTTCCGGCGCCTCCCCCGGCGTTCCGGCGCCCCGGCCCCGAAGCTGCCACTGATTGGTCCCGGTGCGCGCGGAGCTGGCGGGCGCGTGCGCACTGCCCTCCCTCTCCGCGGCGTTCCGCGCTCCTTCTGTGCAGCCAGACGCGCCGCGGTCGTTTTTATACCTTCCCGCGCGGAGGCAACGGAAGGGCGGGGCGCCTCGTGATTAGGTGGAGAGGGGCGAGGGCGAGGAGGGGGCGGGGCCTGCGCGCCACACCCGCGGAGGCCGGAAGATCCCCGGCGTCGGCGGCGTCCTGGCGGGCGGGGCGGGTCGCTGGGTCGGATCTCTTTGCTGGAGGGCTTCGCCTCCGAACGAGCTGGAGGCCGCAGCAGGCAAGTTAGTGACTGTCGCTCCTGACGCCTCACCTCTTTAAAAGCAAGGCCCTGATGCAGAGGGCTTTTTGTTTGTCTGTTTTTGTTTTGTGTTTGGATGCCCTCGAACCCAGTGAGATCGCTGTGGGGGGAGAGGCGAGTGCCACCGCGCCCGGCTACTTGGGTGCAGATCCCTACAGCCATCCTTAAACGTGGCAAAGCAACGCTTCCAACGGGCTCTCCTTCTTCCAAGAAAAGTATGTGCGTCCTTTTGTCGGGGCGCAAGAAATGCTGGCTGATGCTGTTCTTGGCGAGTCTATCGCGCTCCCTCACGCGGCTCCTTGAAGCGCTTCGCACTTGCTGCAGCCCCCGACTTTAGTGGTCAGGTGCTGTGGTACTACATACTAACGTTAGCCGTGCGATCCTCTTCCCTCAGGTCACTCTAGCTGCTGCCATGAAGGTGAAAATTAAGTGCTGGAATGGTGTGGCTACTTGGCTCTGGGTAGCCAACGATGAGAACTGCGGCATCTGCAGGATGGCGTTTAATGGCTGCTGTCCGGACTGTAAGTGCCTCCCTCTGTGCTCTCAGAACGTCGGCCTGCCCCGCCAGCCATTTAACGAAAGAAAGCTGACAGGAAAGCAGCAGAATAATTCAAGCCCGCTTGAGTATAAAGACCCTAACCAGCGTGGTGGCAGATACCTGTAGTAGCAACAGGGGGTACACAGAGACTGGTCTTTGCCAGGGCTTGGCGGCTCAGACCGCAGACCCTGAGCAGCTCGTGGGGGGCTGAGACAAGAGGATCTTGAGTCTGAAGTCTGCCTAGGCTGCAGAGTGATAATCTGACATTCCCTTAGCCCCTCCAAATAGTACTTTCAGTGTGAATTTTCTCAAAATAAAGCAGAACAAAGTAGGACACCCCTGCCCAGCACATTGAAGTTCACACAATGATGACCGTGTTACCATGTTTGCTGGGCTTTGGGGTAAACTTTAAATAGGTGCTTATAAACTATAAGCACACTCTAGCCTTGTCTTACAAACTTGTAGCATTTTTTTTTGTTCCAACATCTGTCCCCTAATGTCTTATTATTGGGGTTTGAGCCAGACTCAACACCTCAGTATTCTTGCTCTTTCACCTCTTGAATGCAGATGGCCTCTTGTTTTCAAGATACTTGAATATTAGGATCTTAAAATGTGTTCTGTGGACTGCAAACAGCCTTACACTTTTTTTTGTTGTTCCTATGTCCTCAGTATGTCATGTGAGGTAGAAATGTTTGATTACACTGAGGTGAAAGATTTATCTTATTTTTCTTTTTGAGACAGGATCTCCTTATGTAACCGTGGCAGTGATCCTCTGCCAGTGATCCTCCGCCTTCTCCCTCCCCCCTCCCGTAGTGCTGGTATTAAAGGCTTGTGCGGCTGGGGCTGGCTGAGTCAATCATGTTGATGTAATTAAAGAGGTGTAAGTGTCTTAGGAAGTTGTAGGTTTCATCTGTTTCCTGATTAGTAACTAAGCAACAGGTCTAGCAAATGTAGATTTGTTGTTTTGTTTTAGTTTCTTGAGACAAAGTTTCACTGTGTATCCCTGGCAGTTTTGGAACTGGCTCTATAGATCTGGTTGGCCTGGAAGTCACTGAGATCCACAAGCCTCTACCTCCTGAGTGCTGGGATCAAAAGCGTGTGCCTCCATTGACCAGCACAGGTATAGATTTTATTAAGAAAAAATGGGAAGAAACTACCATGAGTGTGAAGGGTTAGGGGGAAAATACTCTATAAGTCAATTTCTTATTTAATGGTACTGGGATTGAACATGGGCCTTTCCTGCAGAGAGCTATGCAAGCTCTCTGCCCCTGGGCTGTATTCCCAGCTCTTTTTCTGTTTTTGTTTTGAGATAGGTTTTACTGAGTTGACCAGGATTGTCTTGAACTCACTGTCTAGTCTTTGTTTCTCCTGTGTGAGCCTCTAGAACAGCTGGCTAGTCCAGCTGCTCATTTTTTAAAATCACCTTCAGAGTGGCTGTGAGGCACAGGCCTTCAGCCTCAGCACTGAAGGGGCAGAGCTGATCTGGATCCCTGTTAGGTCTGGTGTATGTAGTGAGCTCTGTGCCAGCGAGGGCTACTTAGTGAGATGCATACCCCTTTTAAAAACAAACAAACAGAAAACCCAACCACATTAACAAAAATCATCCTTAAGATTCTTACTATTATGTCATTGAAGCTGCGCCCACAGTGGAAAGCTGCTTCCATAGAACCTTCACTGATGTGCTGAATGCAGAGATTCCCCTACCTGGGCTTAGAAACTTCTCCCCTCTAGAGTCTATAAATGTGAAAAATGTTTTATTTGTTTTGCTGACTGCTGTTGGGTCATTTGTCCCAGCTTTCCATGCTGTAAGTGGAGAAAGGACCCGAATCTCTTATCAAACCTGGAAGGAATCTTTATTTAAAAGTGCCACAGATATCACTCCGGGAGGCAGAGTCAGGAGGATTGCTGTGTGTTCAAGGTCAGCCTGGTCTACAAAGTGAGCCTACGACAGCCAAGGCTACACAGAGAAACCCTGTCTCAAACAAACAAAAAGTGTTTCTAGGGACTGGAGAGATGGCCTAGTGGTTACGAGCACTGGCTGCGCTTTTAGAGACCCTGATTCAATTCCTAGACATATATGACAACTCACAACTGTCTTATCTGTAACTCAAATTCTAGTAGATCTGACTTCCTCACACAAACACCAAATGTACATAAAAATAAAAGAAAAACTAGTTTTGTTTGTTTGTTTGTTTGTTTGTTTTAAATGCTTCTAGCTTCCATAACACTAGACTGTTAACTTTGTAAAACTTTCTAGGAAGATTTCTAGCAACTCCCACCTTCAGGCAAAGGGTGGATGTTGAGTCTGTAGATTGAAGGTGGCTCTTCTGGCCCCAGGCCACTGAGCTCTCTGTTCTTGCCTGAGCATAAGTGACCCCACACATGGGCTGCAGAACCGAGGGCTGTCCAGAGAGCATTCTAGGTGGCCAGGAACTTAGTGCTTACGTGTGGGGAGTACACTCAGGCTGGCTGACTGTCTTTTTCTTTTTTTAAAGCTTTTGAAGACAGGCTCTCTCTGTGTAGCCCTGGCTGTCCTGGGCTTACTTTGTAGATCCATCTGCCTCTGCCTCCCTGAGTGCTGGGATAAAGGCATCCACTGCCGTGCCCAGCATGGCTCAGGCTTTTAACACAGTGCTTGCTAGCCAGCGCTAATGAGTGGAAAACTTAGTCCATCCCACTCACGGGTGTATTTAAATGAGAGGGAGAGTGTTGGACAGTCCATTGTGTTTTCTGGACGGGTTCTATGGCACCAGATTTCTCACAGAGTAAACTCCTATGCAAGTTAAGTTACTAAGGCCATAACAAATCTGTTCCAGGGCCCAGAGGCCTTTATGGTAGAACAGTCTTGTCAAGAGGTGTTTTGATTAAAAAATAATCTCATCAAGGCACTAGCAAATCCTTGCGTGACTCATGCTCGGTGCATCAGCATGCGCAAGTCCCCCAGCTTGCTGCCTGGAGGGACACTGTGAGAACAAGACAGCACCTTCCCAGCATGACTACCCACAAATGGGCTGGCGCAGTTGTATGCTGGCTGGGTCAAGTCTAATTAGGAGAGGATGATGTAAGCAGAGTTCTGAAGTTAGGAGCCATTGGTGGTCTCGCACACCTTTGATCCCAGTGCTCAGGGGGCAGAGGCAGGCGGGTATCTGAGTTTGAGGTCTACAGAGTGAGTTCTAGGACAATACAGAGAAATCCTGTCTTAAAAAACAAACAAACAAAGAGGTGGAAGAAAGAAAGACTCGGTGGGGCTGAGCACAAATATGACAGACATAGGGCTGGTACCTCGGATGCACTGGGTGTGGGGAGGCGTGGCTCTTTGATCCAGGGCCAATACTGATGTGGGACAGGACTGAAGGTGTCCTGTGCTCCACTTTCTTCAGGAGGGTTTTCTAGTGGAAGTCACAGACACCTGTTTTTGAACAGGGTCTCATGTCTCTTGTATCCAGGGTTGGCATTAAAACCCTTATGTATCTGAGTATGGCCTTGAATTCCCGATCCCATTCCAAGTGCTGAAATTATCCAGTTTTGCAAGACTAGGGGGCAAATGCAGGGCTTCGTGTGTTCTAAGCAACCATCCTATCAGTTGAGGTACATTCCCTGCTTCCCCATTTGTTTGCTTTTTAATTTTATTAAAAAGAAGATTATAGGGGCCGAAGAGATGGCTCAGTGATTAAGAGCACTGGCTGCTTTTCCTGAGGACCCAAGTTCAGTTCCTGGCACCCACATGGCAGCTCACAACTCTGTGTAACTCCTAGTTCCAGGGGATCTGACACCCTCACACAAGCTCACATAAAATTAAATTATCTAAAAAAAAAAAAAAAAAAAATTAGCTGGGCATGTTGGTGCACGCCTTTAATCCCAGCACTCAGGGAGGCAGAAGCAGGTGGATCTCTGAGTTTGAGGCCAGCCTGATCTACAGATCCAGTCCAGGACAGCCAAGGCTACACACACACACACACACATACACACACACACACACACACACACACACACACACACACACACACACACACACAAACTCTGTCTCTAAAAACTGTCTCCAAAATAAAAGAAAATATTTATCTGTTTTTGTTTTCTGTGTATGGGTGTTTTGCCTGAATGTATTTCTGTATTTACCACATGCTTGCAGTGTCTGGAGAAACCAGAAGAGGGTGTCAGATGTGCTGGAACTGGAGTTACAGATGGCTGTCAGTGCTGTGTGGTAGCTGGGAACTGAACCCTGGGTCCTGGGCAAGATGAGCAAGTGCTCTAACTGTTGTCTTCAGACCTGCTGATTGGGATAGGGACTTTGTCCATTGTGCTTGGGCCTTCTCCACAGAGAAAGTGTTTCCAGCCCTGCAGCGGCCTGCAGCCTGTGTCCTCATAGGAGTTGAGATTTGGGTGAAAAAGAGAAGGGAGCGCGTGCTAATGACAAGCCTCATCAGCAGCTGCGCTGCACACACCTGTGTCCCCAGGCCCATGTAGTGCAGGAGATCTCCGGTGTTCTGGACGGAGCTTCCCCGTTCCAGGATTTCTTAATGAGAGCAGAGAGTTCCCTGCTAAGGCTGTGATCTTGGCGCCTTGCCTGTTACTGTCACCTCTGATGGGTGTTACAGGACAGTTTTCCAAGGAAGGGTTGAGAGAGGGGCTCTGGAGACTAGTGGGCCAGGCCAGGCCACCTCCCCTCTGAGGACAGTTCCCGTGCTGTAGAGGAAGTCAGTGCAAGTCCCTTGTGCAGTGGGCCGTGCCTGGGAATGGTTTGGGTCGCCCTGCTGCTTCTGCCTGCTGTGAATAGGAGGCCGGAGCTCTGGCCCGCGGAGCGCTGGCTGTGGGCCGGCGCCGCTGTCCTGGCGCGTGCTCCGTGTGTGCTCTCTCACCCCCGGGCTCCCCCTGCAGGTAAGGTGCCCGGCGACGACTGCCCCCTGGTGTGGGGCCAGTGCTCACACTGCTTCCACATGCACTGCATCCTCAAGTGGCTGAACGCGCAGCAGGCGCAGCAGCACTGCCCCATGTGTCGCCAGGAGTGGAAGTTCAAGGAGTGACGCCCGCGCCGCGCCGCGCCGCGCCGCGCCCCTCTCCCAGCACTGTGCTAGGCCCAGCGCCTTCCCTGCCCATCACCACATACGGCATCCGAGTCCCCATCGCACAGTGGCACCCAGCGACCTGTCTCTGTACTGCAGACAAGGATGCTTTTTGTTCGGCTGAGACAAGGTTGAAACAAGGACTGGAGCTTCACTTGTTCTTTTGTTTTTCCATCACATCATTGACATTTTTATTCAATAAGTAAAACTCATTAAAGTTGTGAGCCTTGCTGGAGGCCTCTGGTTGTCTGTTCTCTTGACATATTGATGCAGCAATGTTTTGTTATGAAAACTCTCATGAATAAACATGTTGATGAAATATCTGCCAAATCCTTCATCATAACCTGAGTCACAACTTAGAAACAGGAGGAGTAGAAGGGTGTGGGGCAGGGCCAAGCCGGGCAAAGATTGTGTCAAGGGGGCTGGCAGGGGCACAGCCATCAGCTGCCCTAATCGGGTGGAAGTTCCAGGATCTTTTCCCATGTCAGCCCTAGCTAAGTGAAGTTGGCTCTTCAGGAGCCGTGCTGGTTGAAGGAAGAGAAAGCTGCCTGCCTCAGGCACTGGTCGTGCCCGGATGGTCTTTGGAGACTACTGCAGCAAGCTGTTCACAGTCCTTTGCCTCTTCCTCAGACTGAAGGGCAGATCTAGTGTGGGAGGGTGTGGGTTCTCTGCTGTTTTAGGAAGGGCAGCCCTTTGGAAACTCCTTTATAGCCTACAGCTGGGGATTATCAGCCATTGGGGGAGCAACAGCCCGTCCCTAGGGTGTCCTTCTCCTGGGTGGAAACCAATTTAGGCTGCTCACCTATCCTCACACTCTGCCCAGTGAACACTGGCACTGCACGTGGCTCTGCCGCCGGGGGAGCGCACCAGCTGGGTCAGGGCTCCGGGCCGTCTCCATGTTTGCTGCCTGCGAGGATTGCTGCCCACTCTGTGGTTCCCTTGAGGTGCTCTGTAGAGGGTTTTAATCTGGCAGCATGGCTACTCTAGCTGCAGTACAGACACGCCTTAGCACACACCCTTAATCCCCAACAACAAGGTAAAGTTAGTGGGCAGAAGAAGCAGGCAGATGGGAGTTGGGTTGAGTCAGCGAGTGGGGAGGCAGTGCAATGGAGTTGAGTTTGTGGGATTCAGAGGCTGAGAGAGAAGTCAGATGGAATCAGTCATCTGAGAGGAGTTTGAGTTGAACCAGCCAGCCAGAGTTCATAAAGAGTTAGAAAGGGTGAGCATATTCAGCAGTAAACCTCAGTAGGGTTTCTCTGTGCCCTCTTTTCTAGCGCACCTGTGCCCACCCTGCCCGCCAGGGACTATGTACTGTTCATGCTCTGGCCCCTGCACACAGCACATACTCTGTCACATGTTACCACTCTGTGTCCATTATTTGAACTACTGTTTGGGAAGTACAAGCCAAGAAGGCTCCTAGGCCACAATCCCTGGGGTAGAGTGGGCAGGGCAGTTTGTCCTGGGGTGTGGACATGCTTGCTCAGGTTTTCCTGAAGGTTGGAGCCTGAGTTTGAGTCCTCTGAAGGACAAATCCAGTAGCAGAGCCTTCCACTGAAACAAACCCTGCCTAGTACTTGGGAAGGTGAGGTAGGTGTTTCCTACAAGTCAAGGGCAATCTGGGTACAGAGCGAGGCCCTACTGGTGAGCCTCAACTGAGAAAATGTCTCCATGAGACCAGGCTGCAGGCAGGCTTATCGGACATTCTCTTTCATCTTCCCTTTTTAAAGATTTATATTTTGTGTGTGTGTTTCCCCACAGGCATGTCTGTGCACGCACCACACACATTCCCTCAGCGCCAACAGAGGCAGAAGCAGGCATCTGATCCCCTTATAGTTAGAGACAGGGAACCATTGGGTGCTGGAAATCCAACCTGGGTTCTCTGGAAGAGCAGCCAGTGTTCTTACCTGCTGGGCCATCTCTCTAACCCGAAAAAATCAATTAATTCGTGACTGATCAGAAAGGGCGCAGTCCTCTGTGGGTGGTGCCGTCTGGGATGGTGGTGCTGGGGTCTACAAGAAAGCAGGCCGAGCAAGCCATGAGGAGAACGCCAGTAAGCAGCAGGCATTCTTCCATGGCCTCGGCCTCAGCTCCTGCCTCCAGGTTCCCTGTCTGAGTTCCTGACTTGACTTTCTCCAGTGGACTATGACTCAGGATAGTAAAATAAAAACAAAAAGCAAAACAACAAAACCCTTTCCTCAGCCAGGCATGGTGGCACACGCCTGTAATCCCTGCAGTCTGGGGGGCAGAGGCATGGGGATCATTTTGTGTCCAAAGTCAGCCTGGTCGTAAAAGCTGTACAGGTCAGCCAAGGCGACACAGAGAACTGTGTCCTGAAAAACCAATCTAAATTAAACCACAAAACAAACAAAAAACCTTCTTCCCTCCCCAAGTTGTTTTTTTTTTTTTAATTTATCTACTTTTTAAACATTTATTATTATTATTATCATTTATTACAATTTATTCAATTTGTATCCTGGCTGTGTCCCCCAAGTTGTTTTTGATCATGGTGTTTCATCACAGCAATAGTAACCCTGATTAAGATGGCTCCACATCCCACCCTTGCACGTTGAAACCTCCGGTCAGTAAGTCTTGGACGTGTAAGAGGCTATGTATGTCTCTTCAGGAAGGGAGAAACTGGCCTCTGCCTGCCTGTGACAAGGGTCCTCAGACCTGGAAAGCTAAGAACTCCCACTCATCTTCCTTGCGCGGCCTCCTTTGCCCCTCCTCCTGGTCGCGTTCCCCTGGTCCCCCTCCCTCCCTCCCTCCGTCTCCACCCCTGCCCCCACTGCAAATAAAAAGCCAGCCCTGGTCGCAGACTTCAGACCATCCCTCTGCTCCTGCCTCTCAGCCCCATGGCCCGCTGTAGGACGCTGGTGGCCGCCGCCCTGGCGCTGCTCCTGCCGCTCCTGCAGCCTGGCCTTGCGTGGCACAAGCCCGCGGCGGGACCCCACAACTACGCCGTGGGCCGCGCCGCGGGGCTCCTGTCGAGTTTCTACAGGCTCCCGTCCACCAGCCGCTCCAGCTCCCCAGCCCTCCCGGTCGGAGCTGGACCCCTGCGCGGCGTGGAGATGCACTCCAGCCTACGGAGCCTTGTGAGTGCAAGCAGGCGGTGGGTGGCGGGAGCTGGTGGGGCAGGGCCGGGCCCTCAGCCTCCACCGCCCACCCAGGCCCTGTGTGTCAAAGACGTGACTCCGAACCTGCAGAGCTGCCAGCGGCAACTCCACAGCCAAGGGACTTTCCAGTGTAAGGCGGATGTCTTCTTGTCGCTGCACGCGGCTGAATGCCAAAGCTCCTGAGCCCCGAACCCCCGCCTCGCTGCCTCGCCGCTGTGGTGGGTAAACTCCCCACCCCTCCTGCCTGAAGCAGTGAAGGCCCTGTGTGGGGCTGGCTCCCATGGCCCCCAACTCCCCCTCCACGCTCCATAGCAAACGGTTGAAAATAAAGAAGCAGAAACTGTCTGTAAGGGTTGCTGCTGCGGTGATGGGTGCCCCTGGCCGAGCGGGGGTGGGGTGTATGTGTTTCAGTCTCTAGCCACTCTTCCACAAAGCCAGGAAGGGGACGGTGTCCCCACCCGCTTTCACGGGGTCTGCACAAGCGCTGGGCACAGATATTTCCTAGCAGGCCATCTGAACCAACCCTGAGAATCCCCAGGCCCTACCGTTCCCGTCCCCCAGTCTTCAGAGCCAGCCAAGCAGCCCAGGCTCCGGGCTTCTGGGAAGCCCTGCTCTGTGTCCTGCCACATCCCAGCTTCTGGGATCCCTGCTACTCCCACCCTCACCTTGTTTCCACCCTGTAAAGACCCTGAAGGACTAAGCTCACGGCTACTGTGTCCAACAAATTAAAGAGGACAGGGAGGTCTGCAGATCCAGAGCAAGGATGCCCCGAGATCCAGCCACAGGGCTGGGTACCAGGCTGGCCTGGCCTTGTCCAGAGGGACCACAGGACTCTGTCCTGCCTGGTCCACCCCTCACATATTCTGGAATCTGGTGGGCAAAGAATATGTGGGCAGCTGTTGAGTCCTGCCCACAGGAGACACAGGCGGAAGGCACGTGCTTCGGCACCTGAGCTCCGGTCTGGGACCCCGAGCCTGCTGTTCACGGTTTCCTCCTCTGCATGCTGCTCTGATCAGCCACGACTCCCCCAGAGGCCACAGGTGGCACATGGGCACGGCCGAGGCAGCAGCACACTGAGGTGACTGCTCAGGCTATTTTACAGCCCTGAGACCCTGGTGTAGGCACTGCCCCATTCTGGGGAGGCAGCTGTAGGAAGGAAGGCTTAGCTTGGCCCAGGCTGGAGGTCTACCCCTGCTCCAGATCCCGACTCTAGGTCTGAAACATTCACAAAGGTGTCTTGCCTTAAAGGGAGGAGAGACAGAAGTCAGGCCTGCCTGCTTCAGCAGCTGTCCAGACATGGGGCAGGAGAACACCACCACAGTCCTTGTTTGAGAGGAGGCAGGGCCTCACCACTCTGTTGGTGGCTTCCCTGGGAAGCCAGTCTTCCCTACATGGAGCCACCAAGAGGCAGCTAGAGGAGCCCCGGCGACTGCTGGACTCCAGGCAGACCCGCCAGGGTCCCAAGACCTAGAGCCTGTGCTCTGTGGGAGAGCCAGGCCACCCGTGCACGCTGCCTGGCCTGGCTCCTCCCCTTCTCTGAGAGTTCTTGCTGTGGAGGGGGTGGACGGGTTTCCCGCCTCTTACCAGGGCCAGGAGCGCACAGGCTTTATTCACTTGAGCCACAGAGATTTACAGCAGCCACTGAGGCACAAAATGAACCAGGAAGTCTGTGCAGAGGACAGCCATGCTGGCCCAGCCGGTCGGGGCCATCTTTTAGGAACCAGGGACTAGAACGTGCCCCAAGGTAGAGGGTGCCCACTTGCAGGGTGACCCAGGACAAGAGGGCCCCAAAGTTATCCCTGTGTTCGTTTCACCAAGGCTGGGTGGGCAGATACTCAGCTTCCACTCAGGCAGGAGGGTGTCCCCGGCCAAGACGGGGGCAGTGGCGATTGGAACCCGTGATGCCAAGGACACGTGGCAACACTCCTTCAGTCATGGGCACCTTCTGCCTGTCCTGTTCGTGGGCTGCCTCCCTGTGCTGCCACTGGCTCTGAGCAGCTCAGTGGAGGGGCTGGGGGTCTGCGGCAGGATGGGCACCCCCAGGCAGGCGGAAACAGCACCCTCCAGCAAGGCCGGCTTCCTTCCGAAGTGTGCGAGCTGGCGCCGAGACACAGAAGCAGAGCGGGGCGGGGAGAGAAGAGGTGGGCCCAGGACGAGGGCGAGAAGGGCACCTTCCAGGCCAGAAGCTAGGTAGTGTGGCCCACAGGCTGTGCCTCCTGCTGCCTCCTGGCCTCCAGAAAGGCTAATTCCTTGGCTTCTTTCTTCTGATTCCGTGCTTCATATTCCAACCTGGGGCCAAACAGGTATCAGCTGGGTCTTCAATACAAGGAGTTACCCAGTGCCAACCCAGCCAGAGGGGGGAAGGGAGCACACCTGTTCTTGATGATCCTCTGCACAATCAGGTCTGTAGTGAGGTCACTGCCGCTGTCAATCTGACAGAAGATGCCTCTTCTCTTGGGCTCCTGGAGGCCTCAAAGAGAAGAGAAGAGGAAAGTGAGAGCCCTCCTGACTGCAAAGACACCCTCAGATGCCCGTCCACCACGGAAGACCAATACTAGCAAGGATAGGGTGCCTACTTCCCGGCCCAGGCCGAGGCAGCCCACCTGATAGGGGTCAGAGCCATCCCTGTCAGGCACAACTTCCGTCTTCCCGTGACACACTAGGTCTACCTGGGGAGGGAGGAGGGTCAGGAGTCATCATCAAAGAAGCTGTGGCAGCACTGACAAGCATGCAGGGCTAGCCCAGACGGAGGGAAGCTGGTCCTGGCAGACCCAGGCAGGAGCCCCTGGGAAGCCTGCACCATGTTCTGCTCAGCCAGCCTCACCTTGAAGTGACCCAGGAGCTCTGCTGTGACGGAGTACGGCGCCCCAATCACCACTTCTGAAACATACTGCAGAGACAGGCCAGTGAAGCGCCTCCCTTAGCCCCGAAAGCCAGCGCTGCAGGGTGCAGAGGCGGCTCGGGGAGCCGGCAGGGACAGGCAGCCAGGCTGGGGCCTCAGACCTCTTCAGTACGGGACAGAAACTGCACCGGCAGGCCCCAGCCGCCCCCCGCCCACAGCACTGGCCAGATGGACGCCCCGGCCTGGCGCACTCACCCGGCAGGCCAGCACGCTGAGGGTCCGCTCGTGCAGGTTCATGATGGGGTAGTTCTTGCCCTTGTACCGGTTGACTTCCTAGGGCCAGTGAGTTTGGCTCAGCTGGAGGACCTCTAATGAAGGGCGCCTTCCCTCCCAGCTGGCCTTCCAGGGCAGAAGCTGCGAAAGCGCCCCCTCTCACAGCAATACCCGAGCCAGGGCTGCCCTGGACTCCAGAAGAGAACCAAGCTTGCCTTCACCAGACACCTGGAGCCTCATTCCGAGAGAGCGAACCTGCACCCAACCCTGACCCGGCAAGGCCCCACGAGGGACCCAGGCCCCACGCTGGCGGGGTGCTGAGCAGCAGCAGCAAGGCAGAGACCTGGTCAAAGTGGAGGCCGACAATGACGTAGGGGCTCCTGGCCAGCTTGTGCACCTCCTCCAGGAAGTCCACGTGCCCGATGTCTGTATCCAGATTAAGAAACAGTAACGAGCAACCCAGCACTTGCATGGTGGAGGCAGGAGCACTGCAAGTTCTAAGTCAGCCTGGACTACACAGGAAAATTCTGTCTCAAAAAAGCAAGACCTGGGCTGGAGAGAGGGCTCAGAGGTTAGGAGCACTGGCTGTTCTTTCAAAGGTCCTGAGTTCAATTCCCAGCAATCACGTGGTAGCTCACAACCATGCCCTCTTCTGGCGTGCAGGCAAAATGATGTATAAATAATAAATAAATAAATAAATCTTAAATGAAAAAAAAAAAAAAAGCAAGACCTGGGGCCACAGCTCAGCAGTAGATCTCCTGCCTCAGATACACACAGCCCTGGGTTCCATCCCCAATCCCATGAAAGGAGAAAACAACAACAAAAAAGAGCAGCAGTAACAGGCTACCATGGGAGAGGCTTTGCCCTCAACAGCCTGTCCCCAGGGGATTCCTGCTACTCTCCCTAATAAGGGCTGCACCGCTCTGACCCAGCTCCACCTGGAGCCTCGGAATCTGTGAGTTCCCCTGTGGCGGGAATTCGGGGTGGGAACGCGGGGCGGCAGGAGGATACGGAACAGGTCAAAGGCACCGGCCACATAGATCACTGTCTCCCCAGGCTGGGGCTCCTTCCCAGAAGCAAACTGGATGATCTTCTGGGAGGTCTGTAGAAACTGGGACACTCCTGTCCAGGGGTTCTGACCCCCAGGGCACTGTCAGCCAAGAGAAGGAACCAGTCAGTGGTAGGAACCTCTGAGAGTGCCCCTCACCCGGCACCCTCCCAGGGTGGCTCTTCTGAGCCCAGGGTTCCCTGTGCCCCTGTCACAGGTGTGGGTGATGGGAGCGTGTGCAAAGAGCAGTGCAGGCTGGACTCCCCAACCCCTGCCTGTAGATAACCCAGCAGCACAGCCAGGGGCTGTGTCCAGGCAGGCCCTTGGGGCAGGGACGGGACACACCATGGCAAGGCCAAGCAGGACCACTGTAGCTAGCAGGACTGTGGCGCCACCGGGTGGCCACAGAGGATACTGCAGTCAACACCAGCTCTGCCTGGCAACACACCACCGTGAGCAGGCGCAGAGCCCAGTGGCAGGCAGACACAGCCCTCCGGGGGACCCGGCACCCTGAGGCCACCATCTGGTCACCTGGGAGGAGACTTCTGAGGAAAGTGTGTCCCCGGCAGGTGTCGGGTGAGGGGGCTACAAAATGAGAGAGGGCCAGGCCATTTGGTTAGATGCCACCTGTAGGTGGGCAGTCCTTGCTCCTCCTCCTTGCTGCTGGGACTGGCCACCTCTCGCCTGTCCTCCCTCCCAGCGTCCACCTGCTGGCCAAGCCTGGTCAGTGCTGGGAAAGGGAGGGAGGAGGGCAGCTGGGGAAGCCTAAGCCGTGTGGCGGGGAGCGCCTCGGAGGCTAGTTACATGTCAGCTCTGTCTCTTAGCGCACAGCGAGCCAGGCGGTACTCACCTTGCCAAAACTGTCGGCATATTCTCGGTACTCGGAGGACATCTCCTGCACACAAGGGGAAGAGGCTAAGGGACCTCTCCCTCCCGACTGCCAGCCCCAGAGCCCACCGAGGGTCGGGCAGGGAGAGAAGCAGGGTGAACCCAGTGGTGCTCAGGGGTGGCCTCCTCCCTGCTGTGTCTGCAGCCCCAGAGCGGTACCCCAGACCCCCTTCCTTTGGACTCACCTGGCTGCTGTGGTGGGCCTTGGTGACCAGCAGCATGCGCCCCACGAGGTCTGTGGTGGACACACCCTGGGTACGCTTGCACTCTCTGGGACAGAGGTAAGGTGGAGGTTTTCATGCAGAACACACTCCCGAGGCTCTGCTATGGGAGAACCCACCCGGGACACACCTAACCTAGTGCCCCCAACAGAAGACGGGATTGGGGCGGTGACACAGCAGTGACAGAGGAGAGGGCGGCTCAACTGTACAGTGTATCAGCAGGTGGGGGAGGCAGGCTGCACCTAGGACACGGCAGCTCGACAGCTCGGGTCTCCAGACACTGTTCCCTCTGGCCCCCGACACCCGGGCCCTACACCCTGCTGTACATTCTCCGCCAAGGGGATTCCTGGCTGCCCGAACCCTGCAGGAACCACTGGCCACAGCTGGCTCCTTAAAGTACAGTTAATTAAAATAAAAAGCCCATTCTCCAAGGGCACCGGGCGCTGCGGGGTGTGTGGATTCCCTACGAACAGTGCTGGTCAGGAGTGCCGCCAACCTGCAGAGCTATGCCTGGCAGCACTGTCCGGATGCCCTGGCACACAGCTTCCGTCCTCCACCTTCCAGTCCTGACCGTGGGCCCCAACGCCTTACAGGTTAAGTCCAGGCAGCAAGGAGGGCTAGGAAGGGGCCTACTTCAGCACCATCCCCTGCACCCACCTGTACCTCCCGGCCTGCTTCACTTCCTCATAGGTGTCTCGGCCATCTGCTGTCAGCGTGATGTCATCTGGGGGTGATAGGCACACAGAAAGGGATCTGTTTTTTTATGTTCAGGGAGAAGATCTTGTTCTGTAGCCCAGGCTGACCTGGAACTTTTGTTTGTTTTGGTTTGGTTTTTTGAGACAAGGCTTCTTTGTATAGTTCTGGCTGTCAGAGATCCGCCTGCCTCTGCCTCCCGAGTGCTGGGATTAAAGGCGTGCCCCACCACCGCCAGGCTGACCTGGAACTTTCAGTGCCCAGCTTCAGCCCCCTCAGTACTAAGATGGTAGCTATGTGCTATCACACTGGGCTCATAAACAAGGACTCTGAACTCAGGGTGTCCTGGGGACCAGAGCACGCCATCCGCAGGCCACCCGGTCTTTTTTGTACCATTGCTGTGGGGGACGGACCCCGTGCTTTCTCTCATCAGCACAGGATGAGATGGGACTAGGGGCCTCTCTGAGAAGCTGTCAACAGGTCCGCCTGCCCAGCCCCCACCTCAAGGCCCCGCCCACTCACTGCCATGAACACAGAAGTCACAGTTGTACTTGTCCAGTGTCTCCAGCGTGGTGACGTAGGGAGCAGCGGGCACCACCTCATCCACCCACTTGATGGCCTGTACCATCTTGTACCTCTCCTCCTGGGTAAACACTGGTGGCCCCTTATGCTTGGCAATCTCCTCTGGGGACAGAGAAAAGAGGAAGGATGGAACGGGATGAGTGACACCCAGCTCCCAGGCCCTGTCCCTGGAGCCTCTGCCTCAAAGCTGACAGGGAAATAAACACACTGGTTAGCCCAGCATTAGCCCCCAGGCAGGACCCACATGAGCAGCAGCGTGCTCCGGCCAGCACTCGTCCCCGCATCTGCCAGTTAACAAGGGCAGCCTACAGCTGAGGAGAGCGATTAGCGTCTTCTGTCTGGGAACAGGGGAGGGAAGACACAGCTCTGCCCAGTGGCACTGCAGCTCCCGACAGCTGGGGTTCTTACTGAACCCCGTGAGCCACCGCCGAAAAGGACGCAGGGACCCTTCCGCCCACCCTGTGCCCGGCAGGCTCGGTCAGCTGGAGTGGCCCCAGCACAGCAGCCCGCTCCTCACCGTCAGTGTGCACACCCACGATGAGGTGGTCCCCCATGGCCCGTGCCTGGCGCAGCTGGTTGGAGTGGCCATAGTGCACCATGTCGTAGCTGTGAGGACAGACAGCGCGGTCAGACCCTGTACTGGCCTGGGCGGGGAACTGGGGTCCCAGTGCAGAGCGCAGCTTTGTTCCTTTGGAAGCCCTCTGGGAAGCCCTACCCGGCTACTAACCCAGGTCCCTGTGTGTTGGGCTTACAGAAGACACACTGCTTCTCAGTTGTCTAAACCCTGGACACTGCACCCAGGGCCGGACTCGGTCACTGCCGGGTCTAGCAAGAGTGGAAAACTCAGGGACAAGGCCTCAAGCTCACTATGAAGCCAAGAATGTCCCTGAAATCTTGACCCTCCCGACTCCACCTGCTGGGATTACCACCAAAACCCATCTATTTAGTACCAGGGAATAAATGCAGGACTTGTACACACTTGCATGCACACCTGGTAGGATGCCTGCACGCTTGAATGCAAGCAAGCATTCCACCAACTGCGCTACGTCGTCAGTCCACATCTGCCCACGGGGCAGCTTGTACCCTAAACAAGAACCATATCCCTAGAGCGACACGCCACAGGCAAGCTTTGAAACAAGGCACAGTCCTAAACTGGGAGCAGACTGTGTTCTGTCTACCCTGAGACCAGTGGCCCTGCCCTCCCGCCCCCGTGGCCTGGCTTAGCTATCCGAGGGAACAAAGCGCCTGTCACCTGGTTCTGGAGCTTTTCTCCCCAAATCTAGGTCTGACAACAAGGACGCTGTCAAGGTCAGAGCTACCCTGAGGCCAGCAACACACTGGGCCCTGAGGGTGTCCCGGTGTGCACTGGCCCGGCCAGGGCTGGGCCACAGGCGCTGCTCTGCTTCCTCCAGAGCTCTGGCTGTCATCAGGTGAGCGGAGCAGCCCTGTGTAGCCACCGCGTGCACAGGGTAGGAGGTGGACAATGACAACCCTGACAGGCTCCGGCACCAGGGTAAATTCTAGGCCAGCACTTGTGCCCACCAGACAGGAAGGGAAAGAAGAGGGGTCAGAGTCTGTGTCTGCGATTATTGTGGCACTGGGCCCAGGATCGTGGCAGGGCCAAGGTCATAGTCCAGTGACACGAACTCACAGCCACTGGTGGCGACTGGGGTGCAAAAGAGCAGACGGGGCCGACGTATTGCGCGGTGGGGCACTCGCCCAGCAAGTTCCCATGGATTCCATCCTCAGCACGACACCAAGACCAACAAGAAATCCACAGCGCCCAGCTCACTCCCTCCGACTGCCCCGGGGAGCCCTGGTGACCACTCCCAACCCTTCCCACCCACCACGGAGAGGCACGACGAAGGGCTGAGGACGGGAAGTTGTAAGCAGGCCACCCTCTCGGCTTGTTGACAGCCCCACGACTTTCTTAAAGCAACGTCGCGGGCTGGTTCGCTGGAGACGCTCCCGGCCTTCCAGCCCCGGCACCCTGGAAGGCGAACACCCGCCGCACTTCCGGCTTCTTGGAAGCGCACTGCCCGGTGAACCCGTGTCCGTACACCACAGTCCCACGGGACCGGAGGCAGGGCCGCCTCGTGCGGGCTCGGACCACTCCGGACCCGCCAACGGCCGGTGCGTGACCCGAGAGACCGCCCCACGCCACCGCCCCACTCACCAGCCGTCGCACCACACCCGCACGGCGCGCCGGCCCGCCGGGGCCCCCCGCCCAGCAGCGCTGGCCGCCCCGTGCCCGTTCCGGATCATGGCACCACAGGCCCCGAACGACCAGGCTGCTCCCGCGACTTACAGCACCCCGGCCCGCCCCCGACGCTTGCGTCGTGCTCACGCGGGGCTCACCCGCTCGGCGTAGCCAATAGCGTGCGCCCCCCGGGCCCCGCCCCCGCCCGGCCCCGCCCCCCGCCCCGCCCGAGCGGCCAATGGACCCTCCCGTGGGGCGTCCCGCAGAAGTGCCGCCGCGCGGTGGAGCTGTGCGGGCGCGCCTTGCCCCACGGCGTCAGCGTTCCCAGGGGCCGGCTTTTCGCGATGCTGGCCCTCGGACATTCTCCCCACTCCGTGGGGCATACAGCAGTCAGTGAGGCAGGGGAGAGGTGTTTAATAAGACTAGTTCAGACTGGAGGCTTAGATCACCTGTGCCGCACACCCAAGACAGAAGGAGGTTTCCCTAAAGTGAACACAGCAGTAACTGGTAGAAAGAGGGAGGCCCTGAGACTAGCCCGGAGTGAGGTAAGGCGGCGGCGGGCTCCTCTGCTGGCCAGGCCGGGGAACGCCGGCACTCTGCTCTCACAAAGGCCTTGGTGCCACCTTTGCACGGGGGGTGAGGAGGAGGGAGGTGTCCTTGAAGGGCAAGCCCTCAGTGGGGCGATCGCAGCAGCGCAAGGGGGCTTCCCACAAGGACAAATGGCTACCAAAAACGGTCACCGCGAAGTGCCATCAAAGAGTTCTCACTAGATCCGGCGGGGCACTCTAGCCTTCACGGTGACACAGGCCCCGGAACAAGAGTCAACGCCATCTGCAAAGTGCCAGTTGTTTACTGTTCACACCAGGCTAGGTTGCTTTCTTCCTTTTTGCGCGCTTGGCACAGCCCCTGCCAAACCAGCCGCCTAGGATGGGGGGAGCTGAGGTGGGCGGGGCACCTTGCTCTGCAGGGGGGCCCTCTTCTCGGTTTCTGCACAGTGACCTCCTACTGTGGCTGCCTTCTTCACCTGGACGGAGGGGCGTCGCCAAGGAGAAGATGGGGTCTTGCCACCTAACGGAAAGGAGAGAGCCATCAGGCTGGTCTGGAGGCCTCAGTCACATCCCTCCCAGGCATGGGAAAGCTGTCTGTGGCGCCTGTCCCTACCCCTTCCCTCTGCATCTTAATGTGGTTGGGCTTCGGCCAGTAGCAGCTTCAGAGTCACCAGACTACAGAAGGGCTGCAGGGGCTAACCTTTGTGGCTGGCAACCCAAAGGCCAGCACCAGCCCTAGAGCTGGCCTGTTTCGTGTCTCATCCCTCGGTAATGGGCTCTGCGCACGTGGCAAGTGGCAAGGGCTAGTTCTAGCCACGGATGGCTCCTGTCCAAGGATGAGTGGCTAGAACTCTGGGCCCCCGCTTTCACTTGTATGGACTGGGGTGGGTGGCCCCTTCCCCTTCCCAGACCGCATGATAGGGATGGGAGGGAAGGCCAGGGACTAGGGAGGCATGGCGCACAGACTAGACCATGAAGAAATCATGTGTCTGATTGAGATGCAGAACCATATAGTATAAACGTAAGATAAAATAAGCACTGATTTAAAAAATGAGCTAAGTTAATGTTAAAAAAAAAACAACAAAACAACAAAAAACAATACAGCACAGGAGAGGCCCACGTCACAAACACCACAAACATAACATACAAGAATTGCCAGGCCCAGAGGTGAAGGGATCCTGAATTTCTTGAACCCTTTGATTAAAAGAAGTTATTGATTTCCCCTATAAGACCCTGAAAATTCACAGAGAAAGAAAGTGTAAACTTTTCACTCAATACACACCAAGTCTAAATCATAACAAACTCTGTATCAAGGCAGTCTGCTTATACTTTCCCCAAATCTCCCCAAACCAAGGACAGCTCCTGTCTGACCAGAGCTGCAGTCAGTCCTCACCCCTCACGCTGTCCACCAGGCTGCACAGGATCTGTGGGGAAGCATTCTGCAGGGCGCACTGGCAGAACCCCTCACAGAGATTCTGAGCACCATGCCAGGCAGGGTGGAAGAGTGTGGTGGAGCCTCGCCTCAGCCAGTCCCTCTGGAGGCTCACAGAAGACAGACACAGCCCATCACACACAGGGCAGAAACGGGGCCATGCTGTACCCACTCACCGGCTGTACACGGGGATCTCCAGGCCCAGCTCATCCATGAGGAGCTGCATTACATCATCGCACTTCCCATGAAGCTTCAGGGCAGCCCAGTCATCCTTCGGGGTCCACTGAAGACAAGAAAGGCAGGTGAGGACAACTTCCCACCTTTTGCTTGTCCTCTGCAGGCTGGGCCAGCCCTCCCCAGGAACACACTTGGACCCGCACAAGACTTTCAGTGCTGGAGGTTTGGTCTGATGCTAATTACTGCCCTCTGTACAAAGCTGCCTAAGTCACTGTGCCTGACTGGCTGATTAAACAGCCTGCACCTGCGCATGGCGGAATGGGGTGGGCCTGGCTAAGGTTCCCGAGAATCCCAGGAGGAATCACAGGAAAAACAGAGAAGGAAGGAGAATGCCACCGTGGGTTGGTGTGGAGGAGGAACCGTGTGGGCAAGGAGCAAGGACTCTGAGGAGGGCGTGGATGGAGCAAACCCCCATGAAGGGTACACCACATACTCATAAGACAGTCCAACTGCGAATTAAGGTGGACGGCACTGTGTGGGGGCTGAGAGTTGAGAGAGAATGGCGAGGGGGAAACATCTGCCCAGCCCGAGGTGACTAAGGCAATTATAAAACCTGACAGGTGTCGGCATCTTACTGTCTGTGATAACGGGTTCCTGATACCATGGCGATAGGCATAGGCCGATAATAATAACATATAGCCAACAGCCATTTTTTATTCTCTACGACAAATGGTGCTCAACCACAGATGTTCTCAGCTGGCCAAAGTCAAGCCCATTGCATGAGTATAAAACATCACATGACCAAACTGAGTCCAGAAACTTCCACTTCATTTCGGGATGCAGGAATGGTACGTCCTGACTGAGGCTCTTCTGCTCTGAGAACAAGGCTCTAGGGCCACGTTACCTGCAGGTTCACGATGTAGAGTTTGGGCCGCCGGCTTGGAGGCTTTGTCATGCACCAGAGGCGGGGATACTTCTTCAGGACCTGAGGGAAGGGACAGACACGGAACAGGGCTGATGACTACGACAGCAAATCCACTGCCCGCTAACAGCTCTGGGTGGGCAGACGAGTGACATGCTCAGTCCACAGTGAGTTCACAGTATTGTGAGCACGTACCTTCAGGCTGGACCCTAAACAGAGGATTGTGTCTGCTTTGCTAGCAGCCTCAGTCGCCGCCTCCCAGTTCAGAGGCTGCCCCAATGTCCCCCTCTCCCCAAAGTGCACAATGGTATCCCGCAGCTGAGTCCCACACTTGTGGCAGGTCCGGCCTGTCTGGTGTCGGTGAAGGGCAGTGCGCTCGGTCACGTCAAACACTCGCACATACTCTCTGTTAGGGACGCAGGAGGTGCAGACCTGGGGGGAGAGGGCGCAGTGAGCGAGCCCTGCCTGGCCCCAGGCCCCAGCCCCGCAGTGCTCACCTCAATGTACATGTTCCCGTGCAGCTCGGAGATGGCGGGGCGCGGGAGCCCGCTGCGCAGGTGCAGCCCGTCACAGTTCTGCGACACCACGTGCTGCACCTGCAAAACAGCATGGCGCCACTTAGTAGAGATGGAGCCCCCCCAAGCAGAGAAGATATTCTGAGCCAGGTCTGGCCAAGGGCCAAGGTTCCCACAATGAAGCAGGAGCAGCCAGGAGGGTAAGCATCTGCACTGCTCCTGCGAGCTGGGTTGGCAGCCTGGGCCGTTGGTAGAGCCGGGGCCGGCAGGACTACCCAACTGCCTAGGGTCAACAACCTCCTGGGTCATTTTCTTTCAGAGGCTGCCCCAGAGCCCAGATCCCCTTCCCTGCTGCTTCAGCAGATCTCTGGAGGTTTCCTACAAACCTCCTCTGTAGCTAGGATGTTGTCTACAGACCCTGATACAAAAGAAATCAAATGGGAAGCTGCAGAAGAACAGTTCAGGGCTGCTCTTTCTTCTTGGAGGGAAAGAACGCAGGGAGCAAACAGGAGTCTGAGCAACTGAGGACTGCTTACCACAGGACTGACCGGAGGCGAAGCAGCTTCCCACCTGGGCACTGAGGTACAACTCTGGGCCCTTCCCAGAATTTTGTTTTTGTTTGTTTGTTTGTTTTCCAAGACAGGGTTTCTGCTTTCTCTGTGCAGCCCTGGCTGTCCTGGAACTCACTCTAGACCAGGCTGGCCTGAGCTGAGAGATCTGCCTGCCTGTGGCTCCCGAGTGCTAGAATCAAAGGCCTGAGCCACCACCGCTGACTTTCTTACCAGCTTCTGCTCATGCAGACGGGTGATGCTCATGTGGGTGAGAGTAGGCTCCGCCTCACTTAGGTCAGCAGCACTGCAGGAAATGAGGGAGGAGGTGAAAGCTGTCCAGGCAGAGGCAACTCTTGCTTGCCCATGAGAAAGCTGTGAAATGCTCACCTCACACTTCTTCCTTTCTGAAGCAGCGTCCACACTCCATTGGGGCCCCGATAATCTGGGATAGAAGCTGCCTGCACAGTTGGACAGAAAGATGCCACAGGTCCGGCAGGATATGCCACACAGGGCATGCCACATTCTAGGCTTGCCTGTCCCACCCACGGTGCCACCCACCTGCCTGACCCCAGGGGGGCTCTTTCCCTCTAGCCAGGACTTTCCTGTCCTGTCTGAGCCAGCCCACTTCCAGACTCCACAGAACCCTGCCCTACTTCAGGATCCTTTCCAGCAGGGAGCAGTGGTGTCCACATCTGTCTCTAACACTGAAGGGGAATATTGGTTAGGCTTATCAGTGTGCAAAGGTCTTCGTGTTCAGTAAGAGGAAGCACCTCTCGTTTCACATATCCTGCAGCTATCAACAGTTTTCACTCCAAATTAACATACACACGAAACCTCCACAGACAAGATAAATTAATTTCCCATGACAGAGCATTGAGGATCCAAGAGTCTGTGGCTCCTGGCTGGGGAAGCCCTGTATCTGCTGCTGCCTAAGCTTAGAGCAACACCCAGGCTGACCTGTGACCTTCAAATGGTGCTCAGAGCACGCTTGCAAGCTGCACATGTCCAGATTAGTGGAGGTGTCACCACACAGCTATGAAGGGCTGGCCCCAAACGCTTATGTCGCAGATGTCTGAGTCAGAGCTGCAAATGATCCTTATGTTGCTACTGGGCCACTGTCTGCCAAGCTTTCCCCCCTCACTGCTGTCTGTTTGTCTTGCCCCCCCCCCCAATTCCCCGAAGAGCCCTACGCAGTGCCGCTCCATCAGCAAGGCAACCCCAAGGGCACCCCAGCTCTGAGCACTGTAGTCTGACCCTTTGGTCAGTGTGCACTGCACATGTCTGTTCATGACTGGTGGCTGCTGCCTTGGTAACAAAGGTCTTCTTTCATCAAAGTGTGCCTTTGTATTTGCATTTGTACACAGGTGTGGAGATGCGACTCTCAATCAATCTCCACCTCATCTTTTCCAAACACACATGCTGCACAAGCGAGTCAGACAACAACCGTCACTTTTCTCCTTGTAGCATGTGGGTTCTGAGCACCAAACTCAAGTCATAGGCTTGGAAGCATCTGCCTGTTTATTCACTGAGCTGTCCCACTAGGCCCCTTCCCTCCACTCTCCTTTTTTTTCATGACAAGGTCTCTCACTGAACCCGGAGCTCATGGACTTGGCCACCAGGCTTCAGAAGTCTTTCTAGCTTGTCTTCCCAGTCCTGGGATTATAGGAGTGTGCCACTGTTTAGCTTTTTCACATGGGTTCTGAGCATTCAAACCCAGGTCTTCATGCTTGCACAAGCAAGCACTCTCCCAACTGAGAGCGAGCCATCTCTGCAGACCACCTCAGGGCTTCTCGAGAACAGATCATCTGATGTTCACCTCAGCAGTCACCCGTTCAAAGCTAGTTATCCCTCAGCCCAGGAAGTTCTCAGAGCCAACAGTCCAGCATTTCTCACCTGTACCTGCTCACAGGCGCGTGGCTCATACGGCTGTACAACTCTTACTGTCTTGCTTCAAGCTCGGGGCCAGGCTGGCCTAAAGACTTTGATCTTGATCTTCCTCCTCTACCAGGATCCACCTCTCTGAGTCCTGAGATTAGAGGTTTGGACTCCACACTGGTTTTGTTTGAACGTTCTTCAGGGACGGGACCAGGTGAAGGCCTGGGGCTCCAGCCTGTCTACACCATGCGGCTCAATCAACCAGTATCCTTTATGTTCTTGCAGAGGCATCAGCAGGCAGGTGGCCACTATGTCCTACCATGGTTCCATGTTTGTCTTTAACAGACTGTCACAAGTCAGTGGTTCCAAAAGTCCTTGATCTAGTTATAAATCATAATCGTCATCATGACAGTCTCTATGTAGCCCTGGCTGTCCTGACCTCCCTCTCTCTGTAGAGCAGGCTGGCCTTGAATTTACAAAGACCTGCCTGTTTCCCGAGTGCTGGGATTAAAGGCACGTGCCAGCACACTCAGCTTGTCTTGGTCAAATGTTTCTCCTCTCTGGGAACGGACACCTTGAAGTTGCTCCAAACAGTGAACTCCAGAACTGTATGGTTTGTATCCCATCAGGGGGCGCCCCGCACCCGAACCAGCCCACACGCCCTCACTCACCGTGCTGATCCCAGCACCTGTGTAGACCACCAAGTGTTTGGCATTCCGGACAGCTCCCGCCAGCTCCCGGACCTTCCTCCGCAGCTCCTCTGGGTCATCGCACACCTGACGGGAGCCAGAGCTGGTCACACTGGCCACTGGCCGCAGCCCGCCGCCCGCAGCCCACACCCCAACGCCCGCCGCCCGCGACTCGCCTCCTCCTGGCGCCGCTTGAGGCCCTCACGCCGCCGGCTCCGACCCTGCAGCTCGGTCACCAGGTCCTCGCTCTCGGCCAGCAGCCGGCCCTCCTCCGCGCTGCGCTCCGCAGCCGCCTTCCTCAGGATGCGTGACACCTGCGGACGGACGACAGGTTGAGCGACGGCGCACACGGGCGCAGGCGCGGGCACGGCGGCGGCCTACCTGGCGGAGGCGCTCCCGCTGCTGCTCCTCCCGCAGCCTCCGGACCCGCTCGGCCGCCTTGCGCTCCGAACGGCTGAGACCGCCACCGGCTGCCATCGCTCCCTGGACTGCGCTTCCGGCTTCCGCTTCCGCCTCCTCCGACAGCCACAGAGACGCATGCGCGCGCCAGGGCCACCCCACCCCTTCCGGCTCGCCCTTCCCACCCTGGTTTCGCCCCCTTTCCTTCCCGCTTCAAAGAAACAGCAGGCGATCTCTTTAAAAGGCGTTTATTGATCATATACAAAATAAAGAAAACCTTATATATCACAAACATACACTATGTACAGCAATAAATACCCGGGGCCTGGCCCAGCGCCGCCCCTCCTGGACAATAATTTAGCAATAAATACTGCGCAGGGCATGGGTGGGCACCAAGGCTGCTGCCTGCTGAGGCCAGGGACTGATCGCTCTACACTGGGGCGAACGTCCAGACCTCACCTGCAGCCAGATCCCCGAGGGCCCTGCCCAGGTGCAGGGTCTCACCTTGCAGCCACACCCCAGCCCCTCCTCAGATCTTTAAGGACCCCTACCCCATTTAGGGTACTCTCTAACCTCCCCCTGGCTTCAGCCCTGCAGGGCAGGCAGGGACTGATTAACTCTGCTTGGACACACCTCTCAGCACCAGGAGACCAACAGAGCCAGACATACAATAGCCCTTGTCCTGTTGCCCTAAGATGCCAGGAGAAGGATTTCTGTACCCACTCCCGTTTGGTTAAAGGCTTCAGGGACTAGCAGACGAGAGAGGATGGGGGGGGGGGGGGGTGCAGGGCTGGGGCATGAAGTTGCTGGAGGGGCCGAAAGCCCAACTGGGGTCAACAGGGGATTCTATCAGGGACACTCCCTAGCACACTCCACCTCAGACTGCCACCTATTAGCGCTGCTGCTGCTGCAGGGGCAGGGTAGGAACGTGTACAGCTGGCCCAGCAGGTACAGCACATGCCAGGACACACACCAGAACAGGCAGGCTGTCTGCAGCCTGTGTGGTACTGGTTCCACCCTCTTCTCCACGACTGCTCCCAACCAGGCAGCCACCAGGAACAAGAAAACAAGCCAAGAATTATTCAGTGGCTTCTGGGGGAAAAAAAAATCGTTAATGTGTTGGTTCCTTTCACTAAACCACAGCCTAAAAAAGTAACTCAGAAGATCCCAGAGCGGAAGCAGTGCAGCAGGCTGTGGCTCAGACATCCCAGCTGTGGATGGCAGCTTTGGCCAAGTGGCCACACCAGAGAGGGAGGTAGCAGGGAAGTGGCCTCACCATCTCCAAGTGGGCTGTAGCTTATCAGAACTGCAAACCCTGGCACTGAACACCAAGGCTGCTGCTAACACACACAGAGCACACACAGACCTGAATGGTGAACTGAGAACAGCCTGTAGGAAGCCTGGTGATGATAGTGGAACCGGAAGAACTCACTGCTGCCATGGAGACCCTGCACCAATGCCACAATGTTAGCAGCCAGACACAATGGAGGGGAGGACTCTCTGGGACAGCACTCTAGAGAAAAGCGAGCCACCTCATGAGGGTTCTCTCTGAAATCTGAGTGTCCGAGTCCAAGGAAGGAGGTCAGGCAAAGTCACGGGAGGAGGGAAGGTGCACATTATGGTTTACTTAGCGGAGAAGTTTGGGAGACCTGGCCTCAGCCAAAGCTCTCCAATCGCTGTGTCAGAAAGTCAAATACAACACCCTCACAGTAGGAAAATGGAATTGACAATGATCAGAAAAACAGTCAACAGTCACAACTGGACACAGGATTTACTGTAGGAGATCAAGGGTAAGGGCAAAGAGGGGCTCTGCGGGGCTGCCACCAGGGATGCTCCCAGACCCAAGAAGCGGAGGCTACAAATCTGAAAGCCACGAGCACGGCTCCATTCAGTTGAGAAGCTAAGACCTGCTCCTTCTGTTCAACACACATCCAGCCTCAACCTCCTCTTCCTCATCTTCCCAGCAGGCTGGAGCCAGGCACATGGAAGGCCATGCTCAGGCCACCCAGCCAGGACCGAAAAGCTTGGTGAGCCTCTCCCTCTCCTCCTCCAGGCATGGGCACAATCCATTCCAGCTCTGCTGCCACAGTCAGAATCAGCAACTCATCTGGATACCAGTCAGAGAGCCAAGGGGAGGGGATGAGGTCACCTGGTAACTTATAATCAACAGTTCAGACTGCCACTCACATCTGACTCAGGCATCAATGGGAGTGTCTGAGCACCTTGAGCCAAAGAAGCCCACCAAAATAAAATGCCAGGGCTGGCAGAGGTCCTGCACCCAGAGCACTGCAAGCTGTGTCAAACTGAGTGAAAATCCTGCTGCCTACGAGGTAAAGGCCTATCAGGCCACAGTCTTTCCTTTCATCAGCTCACATTTCTGTGCTTTTCAGGGATCCAGGGGCCCCAGAGAAGACACCAGCAATGTCAGCAAGAAGCAACGTCAGCAAGGGACCATGTGACCAGACAGGGGTCATCCGCTTAGGAGGAGCTTCCTGAGCCAAGCCTGGAAGGTGGGCAGCCTCCACTGGACAGCTGGGCTCATGAGGAGGCAGGCTTGGACCCTGCAGGGAAGCACCTGCAAGTCAAATAGCGGATCCCTGGAAGACACAGATCCTGAAGGGAGGCAGAAGGGCCCAAAGCCAAGAGCTGCAGACAGTGGGGGAAGACACAGACCTGGCCCTGGGGCTGAAGCCCTTGTCTAGCAATGGTGGAGGCCTCCAGGCTCTCACAGTGAGGCAGGGAAGAATGGGTTGCCCCAAGTGGGACCCCTGACCAATCTGCCTGGGAAACAATACCCCACAGGACGCGAGTTCAGGAACAGGTGGGTGATAGGACTCCCCCAACCCACAAGGTAGGTGCTGGGGTGGCCTAGCCAAGGCCCCAAATGAAGCCTATAGGAGCTAAGCTGAGGCCAGGAGGAAGACGGCCAGAGACAGGTAGGCCACAGCCCTGTGGGCACCCACAGTGACTCCTTGGTCCCTGCAATGTCACCACCCGGGGCCAGAGGTGGTAGATGTGGAAGCAGCACGGGAACCCAAGATAGCTCCCAAGTTCACTGACTCCGCCGCTGGCTGCACCAACCCAAGCCCTAGGCCCACAGGCGAATCAAGGCTCAGAGGGACCAGGTGGCAGAGGAATGGGACAAGTGCAGAGGAACAGGAGCTGGCAGGCAGCCTCCTGTACTCCCCTGGAGTAAGTTCTGCCTGGGACCCCAGCCCAACCCAGGTCCAGCAAGCCAGCAGAAGCAAAACCACAACAAAATCCAAAACACACGCACACACAAAACACAGGGACAGCCACAGGTCAAAGGTCACCAGAAGCACCAGCACTTTACGGCCGCACAAAACCTCACCAGGCACGGACAACACCACGGCACCGGCAAGACGGAAGCAGGAAGGGCAAAGGAGTAAGTCACTTTCGGTACAATTGCAAAAGAGATATCAAAGAGGGCAGCCTCTGGGAGGCTTGCAGCTTGGCTTTTTTTTTCTTCTTTTTTTCCTTTTTTAAACTAAGTTTTATAAGTAATGTCTGATAACTCTGAGTATAAAAACTAAACTCCAACAGCCACAGCGCTGTCCCCATGTTTACAAGAAAGGGCTTTTTTAAACTAGCAAAGTTTCTACTATACTTTCTTCCCTTTTCCATTTAGACGGTCAAATGTTGTTTTTTGTTTTTGTTTTTTTAAGACAATTTTATAAATACTCTGCAGCTTTTTTTTCTTTTTAGCTCTTAAACATATAATTTAATAACTTCGTAAAAGGAACTTCTCTTAAATAAAGGGCTATATAACCACACAAATAGGTCGTGTAAACAGTGACACCGGACCCATCGCAGGACACAAACACACCTTCCACCCACACGTTTAACCGGCGATTTGGTCTTATCCAGTGCACTGTGCCAGGCTCCGGCACCATGGCTCCTGCCCCAGTTCCCAGGCTGGCGGCCTACCCTCCCAGGGCCTTCGAGACATAAGTACTTTTCAGGCAGAGACCGCCCGCCTCTTCCTTCTCAATCAAGCCGAGAGGCCCACTGGAATCTGAAAAGCAAGCTCTCAAGTCCTGCAGCCTGGCAGCCTGTGGGGCCTGCAGACCACCAAGGAGACGGGCAGACCTCAGCCCAGTGCACTTTCCCATTTGCACGCTTGTCCTTTCCCACTCTGGACCCCGGCCCGCATGGCCTTGGTACAAAGGGGTGAGGGGCAACCCAACATCACTGTTGAACTGACCGGTCCCAACGTACAAAGCACAGGCGTGACGACAAGGATGCCCCTGGGTGCAGGTTGTGCTTTGCAGGAAAGGAAACAGGGAAGGGAGAGGAGAAAGGACAGGGAAGGGAAGGGACAGGGCTGCCAACTCTGCCACGCACCTAGTGGCCCCTCAACGACCTGCCCGGCGATTGCACGTGTCCCTATGACCGAGCATCCGTCTTGGACTTTACTATTGTGATGACGCTGGTGGCAGCCACCTTGCCAGGGACCAGGGGCCCCAGGCCAGCAGCAAGGGGACCCCGAGCTGGGGCCACCGGGCTGCGGGCCACGGTCCTGGCAAAGTTCTGCAGGGCCTCATACTTGGAGCGCAGCGCGTCGAGCTCCAGCTTCATGCTGGCGTTCTCCGAGGCCAGCTTCTCCACCTCCTGCTGCAGCTCCGCCTTCTGCTTCTCCAGCTCCTCCTTCTGTGTCACCCGCTTCACCCGGCAGCTGGCCGCGTAGCCCCGGTTCTTCAGTGTGCGGCGGCGCTGCTTCAGCTGGATGATCTCTTCCTTCGAGAGGCCTCGCAGGTGCTGGTTCAACTCTCGAACCGACATGGTCACCAGCTCCTCATCGGTCAAGCTGGTGCCATTCTCGCCGGGCTCCCGCTTCACCTGGGGCGGCACAACACGCAGGGTCACGGCAGAGCAGGAAGGCCCATCTGTCACCACCCAAGCCCAGCCACTGCACTCACCTTTAAGGCCTTGTTTCCTTTATTGGGGGTCGTCATAACCCGGGGGACACAGTGAGCAGGCACTCTGCAAGACACAGAGCAGATGTCAGGACCCTATAGACGCCTTTACACCCCAACAGGAAGTCTGCAGCCAGGTGCTCAGCCCTTGCCCCGTCCCTCACCTGACCTGAGGACAGCCCAAGCACTTGCTTATCCTGAGCTGGGCTGGGCTCTTCAGAAGGCCCTTTGCCTAGAGAGCTAGGTGGGAGGTCAGGGAGATTTTCCCGGAGGGCAGAATCAGCGATGTGAAGGTAAAAGACAAAGGGAACAGAGAGAGATCAGAAGGTCTGGGCTGCAGGAGGGGCAAGCCTAGAAGGAAGCGAGCTTTAAAAATAACCCCAGCGCTGCCCCAGAGCACACTGTTCCTGGCGAGTCACGCTGACTCAGCACATCACCTCCCTCCCTTCCCCAGCCGTTCTCCCGCTCCGAGGCCAGCCAACAGTTCCCAGGAGACCCAATACTGGGACTACAGCAAGCAAGGGTCATCCAGGGACCTGTACTCCAGGATCCTACTTCCCAGAGCTGCTTCCCAGCTGGCCTGGGACCAAGCCCTTTCTCCCTCTAGGACTTAGGGGCTGCTTCCTGCCTCACCCTGGCGGAGGACCGAGTTTGTCCTCACTGCCTACCTGGGAACCCTCTGTTTCCTGCCTCACTCTGGAGGACTGAGTTTGTCCTCACTGACTGCCTGGGAACCCTCTCACCTTCCAGGGAGCCGGCAATCAGGCTGGGAGGAGCTGAGCCTGGGCCCTCCCGTCCTCCCTGTCCACCTCCTTCACACATGGAGTAACTAACCATCCTGTGGCCTGTTGTGGCATCCTGTGCTCCTGCCCCACCCAACACAGGCTGTTTCACAAGCACCCCACAATTAGCACAGAAGGGCACTGTTAGCTGGAAGCAGGCAAGAGCCAGGCCCTTTGGGTCACTGACTGGTCTCTGGCTTTCTGCCTAGGGTCAGTGACCACAGGGCCAGGGAACAACAGCAAAACACCTACTCCCTCCTACAGCCAGCCGGCCCCTGGCACTCAGTCTCATTTTCAGCTTTCTAAAGCCCCACCAAGGCCATTTTTATCCACCTAGGCTGGGAATCCCCACTTAGCCAAACCCCCCCCCCCCCATCCCATGGGTAAACACCCTCTCCTCTCCAGGCTATGAGGAAGGACCTGCAGGTGAGGCTGAAGGCTGTGAGCACGTCAGGAAACAATGTGCTGTGTGAGCGGGGGTCCTTATGCTTATCAAGAGAACTGACGTTGGCAGCAAAGGCAAGTGTTCTCACTGGAACAGAGACCCCACCACTCTTAGCCTTGAAGAGCAGGTATGGCTACATGCACATATCTAGCACAGCAGCTAGAGACAAGTCTACAGGATTAGATTTTCTGAGGCAAGAGAGCTGCCAGATCAAAGAGAAAGGCAGAAGTCAGAACCAGAGGCCTGAATGGATCTGTTTTTCCTACAAGTCAGCCCCACACCACACCAGGAACCTAAGCCGAGGTGAGGGAGGCAAGGGCTCTCCCCAGACTGCTGAGCAAAAAACGGTGACTTCCTGAGATGGCACAGAAAAGTGCAGAGTGAGGCGGCTGGGAGCTGTAAAGTGCCTCCTCAACAGATTTCACCCTCACCAAAGGCCTCAACTCAGCACAAGCGCAGCCAATTGCCTCCTGATCAAAGGTGTGTGTGTGTGTGTGTGTGTGCGCGCGCGAATACGCATGTGTGCACACTCATAGCATGCTTAAGGGGAAGGGCAGGTCTCAGCAAAGCCAGTGCTGCCAGCTGCACGACAACTAGGGACACAGAGGGACTAGGCAGACCGTTTTGGGGGACAGCTGTGCTGGGGTGTAGTTCAGAGAGCTTTTCAGAGCCTGAGAGGTTGATCGAGGCCCGTTGCCCCCAACTTGGTCCTCCTCCCAGTACTGACAGCTATGGATGGCTGCAGGGCACCGAGGCCACCATTCAGGCCGACAGAAAAGGTCTGGGCACCTTTGTCCTCTCACACTGGACAATCCAGATCTTAGTCTCAAGGAAGACAGTGGCTCTTCCTTGCTCAACCTTGCCTGCAAAACCCAACTTAGGTCTCTCCCCCCCTTCGGATACTGGCATTATTTGAAAATAACTTAACACTTTATGCTCACAGAAGCATAGTGACTCTAGAGCTCAAACACTGTCCTGGGGCCTTGAATTTTCACAGGGCATAAAGTTCCACCCCAAATGAACAAAACACTCAGCACCTCAGGGCGCGTGCTCAATGCTGAGAAGACATCCCCAGGCGCAAACCAAAAGGTAAGCTAAGCTGGCCACGAAAACCCCGGCAAGGGAAGCAATACAGAACAGAGCTCAAGAACCTCCAACACAGACAAGTCGGTAAACGTTCACACAGCCGCGCAAAGGTGGAGGACACACCCCACACAGGCTGTCACTTCCCAAGAGTCCCCAGCCACCACGTCGGACACCCAACGGGACCCTTTTCGCTAACTTCAGGCACCCGTTTGGGACCCCAAACTCCTCTGACAGGAATTCACTGGGGTCAACAGAACTATTCTCCTGTCCATGCTTGTACTTCAAAACTTCCGCTGGCTGCCCACATCTCCACCCTTCTCTCCCCTTAGCTGCTTAGAGCTGCCCCGGCTTCTCTCTCCCCTGACTCCCGGTCTTTTCGGTCCAGGGCCAACGCAGTCTGGCCACCCGGGGTCACACAGCAGGAAAGCTCGCTTCCCAGACACGCTGGCTCAGCCCACCTAAGCTCCTCCCCTCGGCGTACACCGATCCGTCTCCCAGTTTGGGGAACTGCCCCAGGCGTGGGACCCGGGCCAGGAACCCGCGAGCCTGGGAGGGATGCGCAAGCCTGGGGCTTTACCTTCCACCGGGAGAAAGCGGCGGCGCGCCCCCGTAAAGCCTCCTTCGGGGCCTTCGCCTCCGACCCACAGGTCCGTCAAACTTAAACACGACCCCGGATCCCGGCCCGACCTTCACCGCCCGGATCTAGCCCTGCCTCCCGCCCGGGCGGCCCGATAGCGGGCACGGGCCCCCCGCCCCGGCCCAGCGTCAGCAGGAGCACCGAGTGACCTCATGCTGATGACTCAGCACGTCTCCGCTGGGCTCGCACGCGCGTGGCGAGCCCAAGCCGCGCAGCAGGGTCTCCCCGCCGCCGCCGCCGCCGCCCCGCGCGACCCCGCCCGCTCGGAAGCGCCGGACACCTGATGAGTCAGCAGCTCGGCGCGGCCACCCCGCGCCCCAGGCGGACGCGCGGACCTCGC